GCCCTGGACTCTTCTGTGCAAGCATTGAAGCAAGCAGCGCAGGCTGCCTTGGGCGTGAAGAGAGGGCAGCTCCTGGACGCCTCAGGAAGCGTTCTGCGTGAGCATTCCACACTCGAGAAGCTGAAGTTGCAGAGCGGGGCCTCGCTGACCTTACATGTACGCAAGGTCCAAATTTGCCGCCTCCAGTGTGTTGACGTCACGGTTTCACACGCTTTTGCTGCTATTCTGGGCGATGGGTCCGTTGTGACCTGGGGCCAGGCTGAGTGCGGTGGCGACAGCAGTGCTGTGCGAGATCAGCTGAAGAACGTGCAGCAGATCCAAGCTACTGCAAGTAGCTTTGCAGCGATCCGGGGCGATGGGTCCGTTGTGACCTGGGGCAATGCTGCGCTTGGTGGCGACAGCAGCGCTGTGCAAGATCAGCTGAAGAACGTGCAGCAGATCCAAGCTACTGCAAGGAGCTTTGCAGCGATCCTGGGCGATGGGTCAGTTGTGACCTGGGGCAGTGCTGATGACGGTGGCGACAGCAGTGCTGTGCACGAGCAGCTGAAGAACGTGCAGCAGATCCAAGCTACTGCAAGGAGCTTTGCAGCAATCCTGGGCGATGGGTCCGTTGTGACCTGGGGCAATTCTGATTACGGTGGCGACAGCAGTGCTGTGCAAGATCAGCTGAAGAACGTGCAGCAGATCCAAGCTATTGCATGCAGCTCTGCAGCGAGCTTTGCAGCGATCCTGGGCGATGGGTCCGTTGTGACCTGGGGCAATGCTGCGCTTGGTGGCGACAGCAGCGCTGTGCGAGATCAGCTGAAGAACGTGCAGCAGATCCAAGCTACTGCAAAGAGCTTTGCAGCGATCCTGGGCGATGGATCAGTTGTGACCTGGGGCAGTGCTGATGACGGTGGCGACAGCAGTGCTGTGCAAGATCAGCTGAAGAACGTGCAGCAGATCCAAGCTACTGCATGCAGCTTTGCAGCGATCCTGGGCGATGGGTCAGTTGTGACCTGGGGCAATTCGTATTTCCATGCTGACAGCAGCGCTGTGCAAGATCGGCTCAAGGACGTGCAGCAGATCCAAGCTACTGGATTTTGCTTCGCAGCGATCCTGGGCGATGGATCCGTTGTGACCTGGGGCAATGCTGCGTTTGGTGGCGACAGCAGAGCTGTGCAAGAGCAGCTGAAAGATGTGCAGCAGATCCAAGCTGCTGCAAGTACCTTTGCAGCGATCCTGAGCGATGGATCAGTTGTGTCCTGGGGCGGTTCTGTACCCAGTGCTGTGCAAGATCAACTGAAGGACGTGCAGCAGATCCAAGCTAGTTCTTATGGTAGCTTTGCTGCAATATTGGCCGATGGAGTCGTCGTGAGCTGGGGCCAATCTCTCCGCACTGTCTCCTAGCATCGTTTCTGAACCTCGCTGCCAAGTTGCCAAAATTGTTCGCGGGGATCCTCAGGCTTGCTAGGAAATTTTCTTCCCGAGAACTGCTGATAATTGGGTGTTGCGTTTTTTGCCCTACATTATAACATCTGTAGCTAGGATAATAACTTACGTATGGCCGGGAAAGGGTTTAAGCCCTTACGTGCCCCCTAGAACCCCCCTCAATCTATAAACCCCCTTTGCATGTGTTGCTAAGTGCCACACTTACCTACCTACGTACGAACGTACGAATGTGTGTAATGATGGAACCTTGCTATTGAAAGAGTTCTTGCAATGCCGGAAGTCCCTAAACCCTAAACCCTAAACCCTAAACCCTAAACCCTAAACCCTAAACCCTAAACCCTAAACCCTAAACCCTAAACCCTAAACCCTACACCTAAACCCTACCCTAAACCTAAACCCTAACCCTAAACCCTAAACCCTAACCCTAAACCCTAACCCTAAACCCTAACCCTAAACCCTAACCCCTAAACCCTAAACCCTAAACCTAAAAAAACCTTAAACCCTAAACCTTAAACCCTAAACCTAAACCCTAAACCCTAAACCCGAAACCCAAACCCTAAACCTTAAACCCTAAACCCTAAACCCTAAACCCTAAACCCTAAACCCTAAACCCTAAACCCTAAACCCTAAACCCTAAACCCTAAACCCTACAGCAGGCCCTAAACGCTGCAGCTCGTAAACCCTGGAGGTCGTGAACCCTGAGCCTTCGGCTTGCTTGGCTAGTGTTACCCGCCTAAACCCTAAACTAAGTGAGGGGTCGCTTCCGTCGAGCGACAGACCCCGAACGGGTTTAGGGTTTAGGGTTTAGGGTGTGTCAGGGAGGGCGCGCGCTCGGGTGTGAAACACCCCGGGCCGCGCGCTCGCGTTGCCCGTCAACCCACCCCGGCCACCCAAACTATACTCTATTAGGGTTTAGGGTTTATGTAATTTATTTTCTTGTGCCCTGATGCTTGCTTTGATGTTTTTAAAGTTGCGCTGTTAGGGTTTACGCTGGGGTTGAGGGTAGCCTCGGCCCTTTTCGGGCCTGCGGCCGTAGAGGCCCTTATTTATTGGAAGGTCAGGGAATCCCTCTGGATTCCCCTTCTTTAAGGGCCTCAAGCCTTTTGGTGGCTCTTGGGGCCTTTTGGGGGCTTCCTGGGGGCTTTCCTGGCCCTTCCGGGGTGCCCAAAACCATCGATTTCAGTACCAAAAAATCGCATTTTTCATTGCGGGTACGGGCATCCTGGGGTCCCCCTTCTTTTAGGGGCCTTTTGAAGCCTTTTGGTGGCTCTTGGGGTCTCTCGCCCTGTTCGGACCTTCGGCGTGTCAGGGGCCGTCGAGGCTTTATTCATTTGAAGGTCAGGGAACCTAGTAATTTTTTTCCGCCAGTGGGTATTTCAATCGTTAGGGCCCGTAGAGGCCCTTATTTGCTTGAAGGCCTTCGCAGGGTTTGGCGGTGTTAGGGTTTAAGCTGGGGTTCGGGGTCGGCCCTTTTCGGGCCTTCGGCACGTCAGGGCCCGTAGAGGCCCTTGCTGATTTGGGGGCTTCCTGGGGCTTTCCTGGTCCTTTTCGGGTGAAATGGAGGGGTGCCCAAAAGCATTTTTCATTGCGGGAGGGGTGCCTAAACCCATCGTTTTCAATATTCAAAAATCGCATTTTTGGCACGGACAAATCTTGTGGTCCCCATTCTTTTAGGGGGCCTTTTGAAGCTTTTGAAGCCTTTTGGTGGCTCTTGGCGCCTCTTGGGGGCTTCCTGGGCTTTCCTGGCGCTTCTGGTGTAAAATGGAGGGGTGCGCAAAAAAAAAACATTTTTCATTGATGGTACGGCCCTTGGTCCGGGCCCTTTGGCGGGCCCTTGGCCCAGGGGCCCCTGGTTTCGGGGGGGCCCTTGGCCCGGCACCCAGTCACGAAATTGAGCAACCAGGTCCAGGAATCCAGCCACCAGGGGCCAGGGGGCCCCCGGGCGGGGGGGGCCCGGCAAACCCTGAACCCAAAACCCTGAACCGACCTCCAGAGCAAAGGGTTACGATTTGGGGTTCTACTTTAGCTACGCTAAAGGTGGTCTGGGTGCCGGCCATCCCTTAGCCGAGTACTGACGTTGTCGTAACAAAGGCCGATGTCCGTTGGCCTGTCCAGGACAGACGGTGAGGCTTAACCCTCACCTTTTCCGTTTCTCTTTTCGCTTGGGCGCTCGGGCTGTAAGGCCCTCGGCCGCCCTAAACCCTAAACCCTAAACCCTAAACCCTAAACCCTACACCCTACACCCTAAAACCCTAAAACCCTAAAGCCTAAAAAAGCCTAAACCCTAAACCCCAAACCCCAAACCCCAAACCCTAAACCCTACACCCTAAACCCTAAACCCTAAACCCTAAACCCTAAACCCTAAACCCTAAACCCTAAACCCTAAACCCTAAACCCCAAACCCCAAACCCCAAACCCCAAACCCTAAACCCTAAACCCAAACCCAAAACTTAGCGAGGGCCTCGTTGGAGCGTGCAGCAGAGCCCGAGCGGTCGCTGCCGAGCTAGGCAGAGCCCGAGCAGCCATGCTGCGAGCGGCTTTGCAATTTGGTAACGGTTGGAAGCTGCCGCTGGAGGGTTAAGCCTCCAGCTTGGGCCTGCCTTCCTGTCAGGGGCCTTCCCCCCGGAGCTTTCCTGCCTTTCTGGGGTAAAATGGAGGGGTGCCAAAAACCATCGATTTCAATACTAAAAAATAGTACGGGGCCTTCTCAAGCCTTTGGAAGCCTTTTGGTGGCTCTTGCTGTAAGCCTTCCCCCCGTAAGGGGCCTTACGGCGCGTAAGCCTCCCGCCCGTAAAGGGCTTCCCGCCCTTAAGGGGCGTCCCGCCCGTAAGGGCCGTAACCCCACCCGTAAGGGGGCCTCTCCCCATGCGGGGGCCTCCCGCCCGTACTCCCGCCCGTAAGGGGGCCTCCCGCCCGTAAGGGGCCGTAAGCCCGTAAAGGGCCTTATAGGGGTGCCAAAAACCATCGATTTCAATAATAGAAAAAAGCTTTTTCTAACTGGGGGTACGGGCAAATCCTGGGGTCCCCCTTTTTTAGGGGGCCTTTTCAAGAAATGATTGAAGCCTTTTGGTGGCTCTTGGGGTAAGTGGCCGTACGGCCTGAGGTCAAAGTTGATTAGATTGTCCAAACACCAAATGTTTCTCGGTCAGCCATCCGAATCAAAGCGCTGATTTGGTCACGCTGTCGGTGGTGCTCTTTGGCAGAATGTGCATTGCGCGATTTGTAGGCAGAGTCCAGATTTCGCAAGGTGGATTTTTTTCTGCACGGCATCAGCAGTGCCGCAGGAGGCATGTCTGCGATAGTCGGAAAAACAAGGTGAAACGCAGAATTCGCCCTGTTTTTGTTTTTTGCGTGGTGCTCCACAATTGTGACATGGCAAGAAGGCGGGATCAATCTCAAAAGGAAGCAAAAAAGGAGAACTCCAAAACATTGATCGCCATTCTTTGCTATACATAGCATTCTGCAAGCAAACTGTGTAAGGTTGCTTAAGATGGCTGCCAGTACATGCGTTTTATACTAACTTTTGTCATGACTCTCCATGTAGCAGTGTAGCAGCATGAAGCACTGCCATGTTTGGATGCGTTGCAAGCCGCCTTTACTTCGACGTCTGCGCTGCTCCAGCTCGGGTCCAGGCACCTACATGTGGTGCACCAAGGCTTTTTGTGCTTCACCTCAGAAATCAAGAAAACCAACAAACTAGGTCGAAGGGCTGGAGAGCTTTGTTGAGCATTGTCCCTCATTGAATTTTCAGGGACATAGTTCTTTGGGATATCAGGTCGCGCGAAGCCGTATTTGGTTCTGTGATTCGGTGGTTTCTGTTGGATGGCCCCCCTTCCGATCCGATACTAGAAGTCCGCGGGTCTGGGAGCTACACGTCGACACTACAGATGTACGTACTTCATACTTTCAGGACCACGTTCACCGAAACCCTAAGTTCAGAACCCTCAGGCTTTGAGCCCGAAACCCTGAACCCTAAACCCTAAACCTTAAACCCTAAAACCCTAAACCCTCGTCTCCAAGCCAGTTTTGCTCACCAGGATCTCTGCACTCGTGGCTTCGGGTCAGGATTGGCCGTTCCAGCACAGACACGGAGGAGCGACTCGGTGAGTCTCCCGAAACCCTAAACCCTAAACCCCAAACCCTAAACCTAAACCCCTAAACCCCTAATCCCTAAACCCTAAACCCCCAATAAGCACCCTAAACCCTAAACCCTAAACCCTAAACCCTAAACCCTAAACCCCAAACCCTAAACCCTAAACCCTAAACCCTTCATCCCCTTAAAGCCCCCAGGACCTTCAGTCCCAGCGGCGCCTTGCCGAGGCCCAGGGGCCTCGTGGGGCCTCAGGGTTTCGGGTTTAGGGTTTAGGGTTTAGGGTGGACCCCCCCCCCCCCTTAAGCTGCTTAGGGATGGGGGCTTCAGGGTTTAGGGGGCCAGGGTTTCGGGTTTCGGGCTTCAGGGTGTTTACGAAGTGCAGCTCTTGCCCAAAGATAGCCCAGATGTGCTTCGTGTGCGCGTGTGGTCGCACTATATGTGACCAAAAAAACATGCATGTATGTATGTATGTATGCATGTATGCATGCAGATGTGTTCTTGTTAGGAAATAATCTTGCATAGACATTTCTAAATTAGGTTTGGGGAGTGTTTAGCCAGTGTCAAGCCTCTAGCCTAGAACGCGAAACTCCAACACCTCGAAGCTGCAAGACTTGCCGCTTCATAGTAGAGAATGAAGGAATGAGGTACCCTATATCCCCCTCTCCGTACCCTTAAAAAGGGATTATGTAGGCTACCTCGTTCCCCCATCCCCTACTGAGCACCCGGGGAGAAGAGCAAAGCGGGCGCCCAGTGCCTTTGGTAGGCTTCACGCCGGTCCCTGACCATTGACTACTGCCGGGAGCAGAGCCCGACCCTCAGACTAGGGTTTAGGGTTTAGGGTTTAGGGTTTAGGGTTTAGGGTTTAGGGTTTAGGGTTTAGGGTTTAGGGTTTAGGGTTTAGGGTCCAAGATGCTATCCTGCGACTTTCGGGTTTGCAGATATTTTCAGGACTTGATAACATGGCAAGTGAAGAAGGGCGATGGGTACGTCAAGGAGATGCCTTGGGCAACACAAGAGAGCAGCAACACCGGGTTTGGCTGTTTCCGGCCGCATGAAGTTGTGAAGGTTTGTCCTTTCCCACTCTGCCCTGGTTTTCTGCTTTAGGGGTTTAGGGTCTAGGGCTTATCATATGACTAGATGTTCGTGTCAGCAGATGTACCTCCGCCAAGTTGCTGCACAAGTTCTGAGGCTGAGGCTGCGCACCATGTTGTCATTGTGCGTCTGCGCGTCCCATCGTGCTTGGTATGCGTGAGCATCGGGGGGTTGACGATATTAGGGGTACCTCACTGGGGTCCTCATTATAAGGGGAGCCTACTATTCGGGGGTCTATATTCGGCCTTATTATCGTAACCCCCCCCCCCTTCCCCCATAGAAAGTCCTTCATCCAAGGCCCCGAACCCCAAACTTGCATGCGTAGCTTCTCACATGCACCCTGAACCTCGGGCATCACCTACCTGGAGCGCATTGTGGGTTTAGGGTTGAGGGCTTAGGGTTTGGGGTTTAGGGTTTAGGGTTTAGGGCTCAGGGTTTGGGAGGTGTTTGGGCTGGGCGGGCATGCCAATGGCTGGAGAGTAGGAAAGCTTGGCCCTTGAGGTGGCAATGCGCTTGCCCGATGGTTGCGCGGCACACCGATCGACGTGGATTACGATCCTTGGTGTCATTGAGAACCCTAAGCCCCAAACCAAAAACCCTCAACCCTCAACCCTCAACCCTCAACCCTAAACCCTAAACTCAAAACCCTAGACCCTAAACCCTGAACCCTAAACCCTAAAACCTAAACCCTAACCGCGTTCTTGAAGGTCCACGGGGCGGTGAATGGAGGTCGTTGCACTTCTCGCGCGCTCAGGTTGCGGAAATCATGTTGAGAGCCTTTCGTATCCGTCATAGCTAGCGCACTTGCAAAGCCACCGAGAGCCAGGATTTCACGGGAGCCAGTGGTGGTTCAGTGTCTGGCATGACTACATACGCTTGAGACACAAGAGCCCCTGAAACGAAACCCTGAGGCTGAAAAGCTGACACTCGGACGCCCTAAACCCTGAATCCCCCATATCTTACGGTCCCTTGGTCCCAGAGGGCAGGCTTCAGGGTTTCTGTAAGGCCCAAACCCTGTTTTCAATTCCGACCCCCTAAGCCGACACCCCAGGTCCCCTGAGCCTACCCTGAAAAAGCCCCCAAGCCGCACGAAGGGATTCGAGGTCAAACCCTAGCCCTAAACCCTACACTCAGGGTGTAGGAGTGCCCAAAAAATTGAGGACTTTCGCCGGTGGCGGCGGCATCAGGTGGCGGCTTGTGTTTGGTTGAGGGAATGAAGGAACCCGATCCTAAGCTCTGGAGAAAATTGTGGTCCCTTTTCTGGTTACCCTAAATATTCAGGGGCCGCTTTCTAATAGTAACCCCAAAAGGGACCTTTAGAGATTTGATCACATCTCCAACCCTGCAGTAGCCAAGGTTCGCTAAGGTTCACCCAGAGCGATTGAAGGAACACAGCAACGACACGTCTAAACCCCAAACCCCAAGCCCCAAACCTTAAACCCTGAACCCTAAACCCGAAACCCTAAACCTTAAACCCTAAACCCTAAAGCCCTAAACCCTAAATCCCGAACTTCCACAGCTCCCCGAGCCCGGAGGTTGCAACTCGCCACCTGCAGCTCTGGGGCCTGCGGAACGTCTTCAGGCGGGGGGTTTCAGCGGGGGTTCATGGGTTTGGGGTTTGGGGTTTAGGGTTTAGGGTTTAGGGTTTAGGGTTTAGGGTTTAGGGTTTAGGGTTTAGGGATGGGATGTTTCGGTTTTTGTTAGGGTCTTAGGGCTTAGTGGTGTATTTCAATTTGGCTTGGTGGAGTGAAGAGGTGCGACTATGAGGGAACAGGGGTTTTGCTTTGGGGGGGACCCTAAACCCTAAACCCTAAACCCTAAACCCTAAACCCTAAACCCTAAACCCTAAACCCTAAACCCTAAACCCTAAACCCTAAACCCTAAACCCTAAACCCTAAACCCTAAACCCTAAAGGCTCAAGGGCTCAGGGTGCTGAACCCGAAGGCTCCAAAACCAACGAAACCCTAAAGCCGCTCCGCTCCCCTGTTCATGTCAACCCCAAGGGCTCAAAAATCCCCGTAAACCCTACGCCCTAAGCCCCAAGCCCTAAGCCCGAAGCCTTAAGCCCCAAGCCCTATCCCTAACCCTAAACCCTAAACCCTAAACCCTAAACCCTAAACCCTAAACCCTAAACCCTAAACCTTGAATCGTCCCCAACCCCCCCCCTCATCCCAAACCCTAAGGCCCAAGCCTGCAGCTTGTTTTATACCTAGGGAACCTTAGGGAAAGCTTCGGGAGCCTTAGGGAGTCGGTGGAGAGTATTCGGGAACCTTGGGTTGTTAAGAGCCCTAAACCCTAAACCCTAAAACCCTAAAACCCTAAACCCTAAACCCTAAACCCTAACCCTAAACCCTAAACCCTAAACCCTAAACCCTAAACCCTAAACCCTAAACCCTAAACCCCTAAACCCTAAACCCTCAACCCCCCTGTTCTCCCTTAAGAACCCTCGAACTCCTTCCGGAGGTGGGACCTCCTCCGGCGACTCATCTTCCCAGACTTGCTTTGGTTGGGGTCCGTCTCCGGCCTGCTCTGTGTCTACAATGCGCCCTCCCCAACCCCGAAGCCCTAAACCCTAAGCCCTAAGCCCGAAGCCCTAAACCTTAAGCCCGGAGCCCGAAACCCGAAGCCCTTCCTAAGCCCTGAAGCCCTGACCCTACATCCTCATGTCCGAGCCCTCCATCGCTAAACGCCAAGAAAGCCTCAATCCCTTCGCCTTTTCGACCCCAGAATCCACCCTAAACCCTAGCCCTAAACCCTAAACCCTAAACCCTAAACCCTAAACCCTAAACCCTAAACCCTAAACCCTAAACCCTAAACCCTAAACCCTAAACCTTATTTCCAACACCTGGGGGGTTGAGAGTGTCAAGGTGTAGGGGCTTGAGGCTTTCCTGGCTTTCAGGGTTCGGTCTTTGGGGGTTTCAGGGTTTTCGGGCCGGTGCGCTCAACACTCCGAATCTCAAGCTGCAAGCCCTAAGCCCTTATCCTTGGATCCCAAAGAGAGCATTTCAACTCTAAACCCTCAACCCTAAAACCTAAAACCCTCGAAAACCTAAGCCACGAAAGTTCTTGGGGTCACTAGATCGAAGCCCTGAACACAAAGACCTGCAAGCCCTAAGCATTGAATCCTAAGCTGCCAAACCCTAAACCCGAAACCCGAAACCCTAAACCCTAAACCCTAAACCCTAAACCCTAAACCTTACACCCTAAACCCTAAACCCTAAACCCTAAACCCCAAACCCTAAACCCTAAACCCTAAACCCTAAACCCTAAACCCTAAACCCTAAACCGTACACCCTAAACACTAAACCCTACAAAACGGCCCCCTAATGACCTGCCCAAGCATCTTCCAGTGCCATTCCACAGGGCTTTGCGGTTTAGGGTTTAGGGTTTAGGGTTTAGGGTTTAGGGTTTAGGGCTAGGGTTTCATTAGGGTTAAGGGTCTTCAGTGTTCAGGTACATATGACGAGCCTCGCGGGCGGGATTCTCTCACTGCCCTTAGCCACTGGTCCTTCATACGTGTTCGCAGCACTCCTGTCCTCAGTCCACAGAGTTCAGGCCTTAGTTCCCACAATCATAGACCCTAAGCCCTAAACCCTAAACCCTAAACCCTAAACCCTAAACCCCAGACCTTAAGAATCCACGACCTGCTGGTCGACCCCCTGCTCTCACAGTCACGACACGACTCAGAAACCCGAGGTTGGTGCCAAAGGCAAAGCAGGGGGAGGAATTCGCAAGGACAAATTTGAGGACAAGTCTCGTGCAAGAGACCCATGAGACAGACTGAACAAGCTCGGCATAAGAGCCTTCATTGCAAGCACAGAGCTGCAGAACTCAGGTGGCCGGTTACACGTTTCGGGCTGTTCCAGCTTCAGACCTCATGATTCGAAGCGGAAGCTCATTCAAATCAAGCCGAAAGCAAAAAAAAACATACATAGATAAGTACATATGATGTGTGAAAGCTAACAAAGTTAAGGGCCCTCTGGGCCCTGGGGCCCATTTCTGCGGACGATTGACTACACCCTCAACCCCAAACCCGAAACCCCAAACCCCAAACGGTTTTCGTTAGTCCAGGGACTGCCGATTGCCGAGGTGAGCGTGACGCTGCCCTCCTTTGCCCTGGGCCTCCTCATCACCTTCAAGACCCAAAGTGGGCCTTTTGGGCTTTGGGTTTAGGGTTTAGGGTTTAGGGTTTAGGGTTTCATTTAGATAGTGAACATGTTTGGTGTTAGTTTGAATTATGGGTTTGCTGATGAGCATTACTAACGTTGCTGCTTTGAAATTCTTGCTCTGCTAGGGTGTCGTGATTTTGGGTTCAAGGTTTGAGGGATTTGGGGGTCCAAAGTGTGCCCTGCCGGCGTTTTGGGGTCAGCCCTTTCTGGTTTTTGCAGTTTGCGGGGTAAAGCGTATCTTTGCGTGGCGTTTGGGTTTCAGGGTCTTGGGATGCATCGTTTAGGGTCATGCTTGAGGGATTTTGGGTTCATAGTCGGTCCTTTCTGCGCATCCAATGCTTATAGGATGTAGGGTGGGAGGTTCGACGTGGGTATTATGGTTCAAAAAAACTTACGCACCCCAAGGTCATTGATGGCATGCTTTAAACGGGGCCAGCCAAATTGGCAGGGGCAACAAGACAGTGAATCCGTAAAAGGACCAAAGGTTTTGGGGGTGTTGGGTTGGGATGTCCCCCCTTAATGATACTAACAAGATGGATGATAGTCCTATTGTAATCCCTATGAAGGACTGCTAGTATACGGGGAACATCCCAAGGTTTACTCGTCAAGGCGGTTTAGGTTGTTGGGGTTCGGCGCTTGTTTTCCGTCTTTCTTATTGGCCCTGTCGCGGGGGAACATCCCAAGACCAAGGTATCATCGCTTCATCGAGGGCCGCGAGCTCTGGAACGGTTTGGTCCGAGCCACCCGAGCTGCAACCAGAAATCTGGGGGCCCCACGCATGGGTTTAGGGTTTAAGGTTTAAGGTTTAGGGTTTAGGGCTTCGGGCTTAGGGTTTAGGGTTGCCCTTTACCCCAAACGTTAAATCCTGGTTTAGGGCTGTGGGGTTGGAAGTGGTCGAAGCCCCTAAGCCGAATGAAGTATAACGACCAAGCCTCAATGAGTCTTAACGAAAGCCAGGCGCTTCCTGGCAAAGAAGTTCAGCGAGTAGAGGTCCTGGCACCTTGAACCTTAAACCCCAAACCCCCAAACCCCAAACCCCAAACCCAAAACCCCAAACCCCAAACCCCAAACCCCAAACCCTAAACCCCAAAACCATGCAGGGCTACTAACCCGCAGCCCAAAAAACCCTAACACAAGGCCCAGCCAAACCCTGGACCCCGAACCCTTCTAAGCCCTCCAAAGCCCACTCCGGTCCCCAGAGCCAAGCGTTCCAAGGAGTCGCGCGCCCTCTCCAGCCGAATTCTGCTCCGTGCACCTCGGCCTCGGCGATGTTTGGGGCTTTTTTGGGTGCTGCAGGTTTAGAGCTTTTGAGGGCTCTCTAGTTTTAGGGCGTTTTTGGGGTTGTTGTGTTTAGGGTTTAGGGTCTGGGCATTTCAGATGTAGAGCTCCTAGGCTTGTTTGGGGGTGTTAGGTGGGGTATGGGGTTCAGGAACTCGGGTAATGTTCGGGTGCCTTTAATAAACCCACCCCCCCCAGATCTTGTTTTGGTTTCCGGGGTTGTGAGGGTGGAAAACAAAGCGGGGGTGAAATTAATAAATGCCTGGGGGTTCTGGGTTGTGGGGGTCTGGGAGGGGTCAGCTGTCAAGGAGATCTGCTTCTCTAAAGACTCAGGCTCTGGCTTCTGGAGCTCTTTCAAGCCAGCTCAGCTGAAAAGTCTTTTCCGCAATGGAACTCTTAAGCAATCTTCAGTAAAATTTTAGATTCCTGGCCAGCCAAATTTTACAACTGTCACACCCCATTTTTGTTTTCATCGAACCCCTCTATATGGGGTTTACACACATCAGCCCGAAAACCTCTCGTAATGGAAAGTAGTCTTGAGCCGGGGCCCCCTGTCCCGCCGAATAGTACTATTCCCACCCCATTTAAAAATGTGACTCCGACATTAACCACAAGAATTGGCAGGATAGAGATTACGAACGCCACTTGTGGCCAAAACGTCTGTCTTGCCGGGGCTTGTAGGGTGCGAAACACAGTGGGTGGTGCAGCCCTAAACCCCATACTAAAACCCTAAGCCCTGGGATTTCATCAACCCTAAACCCTAAACCCTAAACCCCAAACATTCGGAAACCCGATGAGCAAAGCGTCACCCAGGTGCCGGGAACCGCCGGCATCGAATGCACGCCAGCCGGCACCCCAAACTTCTGGGACTGAGTGAGTACACTTTACACTTTTTGGGGGTTTAGGGTCTAGGGTTTAGGGTTTAGGGTTCCTGGGATGTCATAATCCCCTATAGAACTGAAAGTGTGCTTTTTTTGTGGGCGTATGAACTCAGGAACTAAGGGGAAGTGTGCCGTCAGGACTTCTTGCCGCCCCAAGGGTCTAAGCCCGAACTGCAAGGTCAATATTCTCGCTGTCAGGCCACAAACATGACAGCTGTTTGTGTTTGGGTTCTTTACTTGTTCTTCGTGGTGACTTCCCTTACACCCCATCTAACAGGTTATCTAACCTTGAAGATGATGTAGGGCACCTAGTTCACGAATTTTCCCCGAAACCATGCACACTAAGCAGGATAGGTTTACAGTTTAGGGTTTGGGGTGTTTAGGATCTTTCGGGCTATGATTAGGGTTCTCGAGGTCTCAGGGCTTTTCGTTTTTTTTTTTTTGGGGGGGGGGATTTTCTGGTTTAGGGTTAGAAGCTCGTCCCTCGAATGAGGTAACCCTTCCATGCCCTAGATATTGGGTTTAGGGCGGTGGGCTCCGCCCCCCAAGCCCTAAAACCTTAAACTTAAGCCCAAAAGCCCTAAAACCCTAAACCCCTAAACCCTCAACCCTAAACCCCCAAAACCCTACATCTGTTAAAGCCTGGGAATTCCTCCCAACGAAACTGTGATGTTGTTGACGGAACGGCCGTTTTGCAGGGTTGAGATCGAGGGTTTATTTCGGGGTTTGGGGGTTGGGATGTTCGCCCTTATACGGACAGTCCTCAAGAGGAATTATTATACCCCCTAAACCCTAAACCCTAAACCCTAAACCCTAAACCCTAAACCCTAAACCCTAAACCCTCAACCCTAAACCCTAAACCCTAAAACCCTTAACCTTATTCAGGACTGTTAGTATCAGGGGGAGCATCCCAAGTTTAGGGGTTTCGGGTTGAGGGCGTTGGGGCTTCTGGTGTGCTAAGCCTGAGAACCCCCCCCGATTCCTCAATCCTCACGGACCCTAAACCCTAACCCTAAACCCTAAACCCTAAACCCTAAACCATAAACCCTAAACCCTAAACCCTAGACCCTAAACCCTAAATCCTAAACCCTAAACCCTAAACCCTAAACCCTAAACCCCTTAGTGAAGGCGTGGGGTGTAGGGTTTCTCCTGGGACGCCCAGGTCTTCAAATCGTCCCGGGCTCAGCATGGCTGGTTTAGACCCCTTCAAGTGGGTTTAAGTTTAGGTCTAGGCTTTGGGGTTTGGGTTTCCCTGAACCCTAAACCCTAAACCCTAAACCCTAAACCTTAAACCCTAAACCCTAAACCCTAAACCCTAAACCGGGTTCGGGGTTCAGAGTTTGGGGATTTCGGGGTTCCGGGGGGGTCTTGGGCAGTTGAGGGTCTTTGCGGGTGTAGACTCCTTCAAAGTTCTTTGCAAGATCCACCCTTGACTCCCTCAACCCCGAAACCTGGTAGATAGGGGTTTAGGGTTCAGGGGTTTGGGTTGGGGTTTAGGGGTCAGGGGTTAGGGTTTAGGGTTTAGGGTTCTAAATCCTTTTCGTTTAGGATTTAGGGAGCCCAGGAATAGGATTTTAGCGAATAGGATTGAGGCCCTCCCGTGAAGGGTATCCCAGGACTCGGGGACAATGTGGCCGATTCCAGCTGTGCAAAATTGCATTTTCCAGATTTTGGGGTCTAAGCCTTATTCGTTTAGGATTTAGGCCTAAATCTTGTTCCTAAACCTTATTCGTTTAGGATTTAGCTTAAATCCTATTCCGAAAACCCTATTCGTTTAGGATTCGGATGTTGCGGACAGGTTTTTGGCTGCCAGAGGATTTGGGGTAATATTTATATGAAGGCAATCACGGCAGAGACGATACAGTGCGACAGTGTCTGACCACCAAGTCCTTTGTCTGTAGGATGCTTTCAAAAGCCGAAACGGCAGCGGTGGGCGGGGACGAAGCCCCGCCCTCCACTGCTGAGCTTAGGGTTTAGGGCTTTTAGGGCTTAGGGCTTAGGGTTTAGGGTTTAGGGTTTAGGGTTTAGGGTTTAGGGTTTGCGGTGCTCAGCCAGGGTCCATGGTTTGGAGATCTCCGGGCTGCTGGAACTAAGCCCCCAAGGGCGCGAAACCGTGTTCCCCCGAAAACCGCAAACACCAGCTCCCACGCCAGGGAAGGGGGCTAAGTTGAGGTAGGGTTTAGGGGTTTAGGGTTCAGGGTTTAGGGGTTCAGGGTTTTAGGGGTTCAGGGTTTCAGGGTTTAGGTTCAGGGTTTCGGGTTTAGGGCTTAGGGTTGAGGATTTTCACTGAACCCGAGACCAGAAACGAAGCAGCAACCAGGCAGCAGCACACCCTTAAGCTCATCCGCAGCTTCGCCGTCTCTTTGAAGTACCACCTGACCGAGGCCCCCAGATAGGGCTTAAGGCGCTGATTCCGAAGTTCCCTAGCACCTAGGATCCCCACACCCTTATGCCCCGGAGTTCTACGACCGAAGGACCTAAGACCCCAAGGGCCCAAAACCCGAAGCCCTAAGCCCTGCACTAAGCCCCAAAAAACCCCTGATGCTCGAAGCATTAGGAGGCCCCCTCAGAGGGGCCGTCCGAGACCCAAAGCTGTTTGGCATTGGGGCGTACATAGCTCGTTCTGCGTTTGGAAGTTTTCGGTGTTTGTTTTCTTTTTGCTTCCCCAAGGAATGGGGGTGTCGGGTCTGGGGACAAGCAGCTTGCGTCTTGAACTGCTCCTATCTCGGATGCATGCAAGGTGAGTCTTGAAGTGTGCCGCTATTCTCAACCCCAACCGCTAAACCTAAACCCTAGACCTCAAAAACAGCCCCTACACCTCAAGCCGTGAACTCCAAACCCCATAAACCCTAAACCCTAAACCCCTAAACCCCTAAACCCCTAAACCCCTAAACCCCAAAGCCCCAAAACCCCAAAGCCCCTAAGCCCCTAAACCCCAAAACCCCTAAACCCGCCCGCCACCCCTAAGCTCTAAGCGTAACCTTTGAGCGCCATCCTAAACCCTATTCCCTATTCCCTAAACCCTAAACCCTAAACCCTAAACCCTAAACCCTAAACCCTGTGCAGGATGGGTGCAATCCTCACATCGAGCTCGGTGGGGTGGCCCATCCAGGGTTTTTCCTAAGGTTGGAACCATGGGCCCTGACTAGGGTTCAGGGTTTAGGGCTTAGGGTTTAGGGTTTAGGGTTTAGGGCTTAGGGTTTAGGGTTTAGGGTTTAGGGATAAGGGTTCAGGGTTTAGGGATCCGAAGTGCGGGCCCCTATTATGTAGAGTGTATGTAAGGGTTATATAACAAGGGACCCGAATTACGGCCCATACTTGACACCCCAGAGTCTTGCATCTTGGCAGAAGGTTTTAGATTAAGGGTTTATGGGTTTTTAGGGTCTTGGGGTTTATGGTTTTAGGCTTTCGGGTTTCTAGGTTTTTTTTATGTCTTAGGGGTTTTAGGGGTTTCAGGGTTTGCAGGGTTGTAGGGTTTGTAGGGCTTAGAGCGTTTTGGGGTTTATAGGGCTTTGTGGTTTTTTAGGGTGTGGATCGGGTTGGTTCATGGTCGAGGGTGCCCTACGGACAAAGTCAGTAAGAACGACGCACCCATGAATCTCTGCGTAAGCTTTAAACCGTACACCCCAAGTCCGAAACCGGAAACCCAAAGTCCCAATAATTGTTCCATGGTCCCATAATGTGGTCCATTAAATGCTTCAAAGGGTTCTGAGGTATTTTGGCTCTTGGGTTGTTAGGGTTTTTAAGGGGTATACAAGGGTTCCCAAGTAAGGGCCCATAGTCGGGGACCGTGTAACTACCCCAAGAAACACCCTAAACCCTCATCCCCTGGGACAGAAGTTTGTGCAGAGCGAAAGTCCACTGCACATTTAAAACAAGCTCAAGCCTAAGGCCTAAGCCCTAAGCCCTAAGCCCTATGCCCTCAGCCCTAAGCCCAACGCTCAAAGCCCTAAGCTCTAAGCCCTATGCCCTCAGCCCTAAGCCCTAAACCCTAAACCCTAAACCCTAAACCCTAAACTCTAAGCCCCCAAGTCCTAAAACCCTGAGCAAACCCCAGGCTCTCGCACGACGGAGGAGGAGGTGCGGAAAGCCACCACCAGAGCTTTCAAGGCGAGGCTCCGGCCCTCTTTGCCATTACGTTAGGGTTTAGGGTTTAGGGTTTAGGGTTTAGGGTTTAGGGTTTAGGGTTTAGGGTTTGGGATTTAGGGTTTGGGGTTTAGGGTTTGGGGTTCAGGTTTTAGGGTTTAGGGTTTAGGGCTTATAAGGGTTTAGGGATGTCTTGCCATGTAGGGTTCACGGTTTCAGGGTTTTCAGGGTTTCGGGGTTGGGGGTTTAGGGAAGTCTCAGGATTTTGGGTCAAGAGCTTGACGTCTTTTGAACGTTCTGGGATGAGGCTTCGAGGTTTTAGGCTTTCGCCCCGACCTTTGGGGGCACCCGCGGGCCTTTCGGCGTTTTGAGGTTCCTGTGACCCTAAACCCTAAACCCTAAACCCTAAACCCTAAACGGGGGTTTCCGAAACTAGGGGGGTACCCTTCTTGGGGCCCTTGCTATGCGGGCATCCTGCTCTTTGGGGGTCTCCGTTAGGGGGCCCCTTATGTTCGTAGACCCCCATCTGCCGTGGGTGATTTCATGGGCTTTACCTCTTAGGTTTACCTCTTAGGTGCACAGCCCTGCCTGGGCTCGCTCCGAAGCCCGTTGAAACCTTGGAATGCGAAGTCTAAACCCATGCCTGCACCCAACAGCCAGGCCCTGAAACCCCAAGCTCCTGGAGACCTAAACTCCTTAAGCCCTAACTCCTGGCCCAAGCCTTAAAGCCTTAAACCCTAAATAAACTTCCAAGTTCCCAAACCGGCAACCCAACCTTGAATCCAAACCCCCCAACGCCAAACGGCCTTCCCCACATTCAAGCTTTACTTGAAGGTTCATGACTTCTTAGTAGGGTTGTAAGTGCCCTAGACAAGGTTATAACCATAGTTACCCAGTTATAGCCTAAGTACACATAGCCCAACTAATCCCTAAATCCTAAACCCTAAACCCTATAGCCTAAACCCTAAATCCTAAACCCTAAGCCCTAAACCCTAAACCCTAAACCCTAAACCCTAAACGGGCTTCCCAGAGGCCGAGCTCGGCTGCATTTGGGACACAGGCGTGTTGGAGGAGCGAGGGTTCATTGCCGGGAGCCTCAGTTGGCTGCTGGCTTGAGGGAAGGAGGGCGGGGAACAAGGGGGGGCCAGGGTTTAAGGTTCCAGGTTTATGGCTCAGGGTGCAGGGCTTTCTAGCCTCTTGAACCACGCCCCCTCCCCTTACAACCCCTACACCCTTGAAAAGCCTAGAAACTGGCAGGGTCCCGGCACCCTACGAAACCGCGAAACCAATGAGGATCGCATCTCCGCCACCTCTGCTGCCAACCGCCCACTGCAGATCTTGCACGAGTGCCTGGGACGTGGCAGGGTTTACAGATTAGGATTTATGGTTTTTGAAGAATGCTCTTAATGCAAGCCCTGACACCCCGGATGTCTTTGCTGCCTTCCACATGAAGAGTTTAGGATTCAGCGTTCAGGGTTCAGGGTTTAGGGTTGAGGGTTTAGGGTTCAGGTTTTGTTCAAGGTTCAATCTGCATCCTTTCTCGCCCCAAGAACTTTGGGGCACAGTGCTTCTGCTGGCCCTAACACCCTGAACCCAAAGCCCTAAACCCCAAACCCTAAACCCTAAACCCGAACCGAAACATCCTGAGATCTAGGCCTCCAGGTTTAGGGTTTAGGGTTTAGGGTTTAGGGTTTAGGGTTTAGTCCAGTCTTGAGCCCCCAGACCCCCCAAAAGCCCCCAAAAGACCCAAGGATCGAACACTTAAACAGCTCCGCCACTGTTCTGCAAGCCGGTGTGTTTGAGTCTTGTCTTGTTGTTTGCGCGTCTTTAGGAGTGAGGGTCTAGGCCTAAACCCTACACCCTACACCCTACACCCTACACCCTAAACCCTAAACCCTAAAACCTAAAAGCCCTAAACCCTAAACCCTAAACCCAAACCCTAGACCCTAAACCCCAGAGGGTCCGGGGTTTCAGGAGTCGTCGTGCAGGCCTTGCGGTTAGGGTTTGGGGTTCAGGGTTTAGGGGTATAGGGTTTAGGGTATAACTAAGGGCTTCTTATCAGGAACCCTGCAGTTCTCATTCCTCCAGGCCCCTGCTTCCTTGTTAGGCTGACGGTTTTGGGGGCTAGGGTTTAGGGCTTCGGGTTTAGGCTTAGGGTTTAGGGTGAATGGACCTGGAACAGAGAGGCAGCGAGATAGGCGCGGACATCTCTGCGTAGCTTGGTAGGTTTTTCATGCTATGTAAGATGCAAGAGGCTGGTGCCCCAATAATTGAAGCTCTATAGTTTCTGTTTTTCTTTATGTTTTAGCCTAGGGTCTTGAGGTCGGAGTGGGGTTCTGGGTTCAGGGTTCGGCCCATTGAGCCCTTTGTTCTACACTTTGACCCTAAACCCTACACTGCTCTACACCCCTAAACCCTGAACCCGAAACACCCAAACCTCAACACGATCCAAGCCAAAAGAAGGGCTTCGGGCCGCTAAAAGAAGCAACCAAACTGTCGGCTTCAGAGTTTCTTGCCTTCGCCCTTGACTCTAATCCCGGAATGCCCTAAACCCGAAGCCTCCAGCCTCGAACCTTTTGAAGCCTACATCTTTAAACCCCTAAACCCCTAAACCCCTAAGCAGCCCTAAAAGCCCTAAACCCCCTAAACGCCCTAAATCCCTAAAGCCCGAAACCCCCAATTCCTTAAAAGGCCTATAAACCCCTCAACCCTAAACCCTAAACCCTAAACCTTAAACCCTAAACCCTAAACCCCATAACCCCCCAAACCCCCAAACCCCCCCAAAAACGTCAGGTCTTCTGCGTGCCGAAGCTGGGAGGCCTCGACCCACCGGCAGCCAACGAAGTCGACCGCAGCATCACGAAGCTCCAGAATGTGCCGCCTGGGCCCACAACTTTGCGGACGTCAGGGTTTCGGGGGGTTTAGGGTTTAGGGTTCGGGGCTTTAGGGTTTAGGGTTTGGGGTTTAGGGTTTGGGGTTTAGGGTTTAGGGTTTAGGGTTTGGGGTTTAGGGCACCCTAAACCCCAAACCCCCCCAAGGCCCTGAGAGACTGCTGGCTCTCAGGTTGGGCGCTTGCGAGAAGATCTTGCGAACGCCCATCTACACGCCCTACACGCGCTTCACCAGCCGTGCGTCCGGCTAGGATTCTGAGGGCCGAGGGCTTGACGGTTTAGGATATGGTCGCTGCTCTACATGAGGGTCCCTTGTGGGGGTTGCTATTATAAGGTGGCCCGTAATAATGGTTAGGTTACCCCAAAAGGGACCATATTTTTGAGAACTGACCATCTAGAAGGCGGGGTTCCGGGATTTCAGGTTTCGGGTTGCTGTCTTGGGGGCTGAGGGTGGATTTGTGTTTGGTGGCCTTTCACGGGGGGGGGGGGGGGGGGGGGGGGGGAGGTGAACAAGGGCTGCAACTGGGACCTGAGACCCTATAACCCTCAAGGGTTTAGGGTTTAGGGAGGCTTGCCAAAGGTTTCTGAAATATGGGGTTGGGGGCTCGAACCGTTTTAGGCCTCAGGGTTTAGAGTTCAGGGCTCGCGAAGAAATCGAGCCCTTTCCACCCTAAACCCTAAACCCTAAACCCTAAACCCTAAACCCTAAACCCTAAACTGGCCCTAAACCCTAAACCCTAAACCCTAAACCCTAAACCCTAAACCCTAAACCCTAAACCCTAAACCCTAAACCCTAAACCCGAAACCGAAACCCTAAACCCTAACTCCAAACCCTAAACCCCAAATACTAAACCCTGGTGTGCCAGGATTCCTGTTCATCTGGTGCAACCTCCTCCCGCTGGCGCTCTTTCCCGTGGTTGGTCCGGCTGCCTGCCCTGTGAGTGCTTCATCGGGATAGGGTTGAGGGTTTAGGTCTTAGGGTTTAGGGTTTAGCGTTTAGGGTGTAGGGTTTAGGGTTTAGGTCTTGGGGTTTAGGGTTTAGGGTTTGGTTTCTTCTGGGCTTAGGGTTTAGGGTCTATACCTCAACAAACCAATGCCCGAATGGTTTTGGCTTGAAACCACAAACAACAAATGACATCCTCTACCCTAAGCCCCTAGGCTCCAAATCAAGAGCCATGGAGAGTCCTCTGCCTTGAATCTTGACAATCGAACTCCCAGGCTCTTCCTAAATCCAACTTTAGGGCTTAGGGTTTTGGGTTCACCCTGAACCCCATACCCTAAACTGCAACACCCTGAGCTAACAATCCAAATCTCTAAGCCCTCAACCCTGAAATTATCTCCCTCAACCCAAGACCATATTTGGTGTCGGGTCCTACAGTACACACGCTGGGGCTGAGGACCTGACAGTGCCACTCACACTGACCATCTCCTTCTTCATGCTAGGCGGGGGAGAGTGGTGGGGATCAGGGTTCGAGGTTGCAGCTTAGGGTTCAGGGTTCAGGGTTCAGGGTTCAGGGTTTAGGGTTTAGGGTTTTGGGTTTAGGGTTTAGGGTTTTGGGTTTAGGGTTTAGGGTTTAGGGTTTAGGGTTCAATGGTTCAAGAACAGGGCTTCATGGTCTTATGGTGCATAGGGTGTAATGGTTCAAGGGTTCAGCAGTGAGGGGTTTAAGGGTCTTGAGGGGTTTTGCTCAAAGCCCTAAGCCCTAAGCCCTAAGCCCTAAGCCCTAAGCCCTAAGCCCTAAGCCCTAAGCCCTAAGCCCTAAGCCCTAAGCCCTAAGCCCTAAGCCTAAGCCCTAAGCCCTAAGCCCTAAACCCTAAACCCTAGCTAAGCCCCTAAGCCCCTAAGCCCCTAAGCCCCTAACCCCTAAACCCCTAAACCCCTAAACCCTAAACCCTAAACCAACCCCAAAGCCTCAACTCTATAGAGCCCTGCGTTCCGTGGACTCGGCACTCCAAGAGGAGAAGAGTCTTTTCGCAGCCTCAGTACCAAAAACCCCCCCAACTTCTCCCCCCCCCCCCCCGTGGCCCCAAACCCAGAACCCTACATCCTAATCTTGGGATGTTCCCTGTACACTAACAGTCGTTAATAGGGTACCCCCTATTAGAATACCTATAAAGGGCTGAATCCCTATTGAGGACTGTTAGTGAAAGGGGGAACATCCCAACCCGAATCCCTAAACCGCCCCACAACGTTCCCCAGGCATCGAGGACATCGGCTCGCGTGTGGAGCAGCCCTTTGACGTGCTGCCGCTGTGGCAGAGATCTGGCTGCGATGGCACTTCTAGCTTGAGGAGGGCCGCACTCAACCCCAGAAGCTCCTTCAACGCCCAAACCCTTCATTAAACCCGAAAACCCTGAACCCTGACTCGTCAAACCGAGTGAAACCCTAAGTCCTGCACCCCCTAAAGCCCCCAAATCCCTAAACCCTGGACCCTAATACCGCCCTCGAATCCTCCGAAGCACCGAGGTACTGCGAGGAGATCGACACCTCGCTGGATCAACTCCTGGAGCACAGCCGCGCCTTAGGCGCGCGGGGGCGAAGCCCACCCGCCCCCAACGTCTCCCAAACTTGAAGCTCTAGACCCTAAACCCCGAAACCCCGAAACCCCGAAACCCCTAAACCCCTAAACCCCTAAACCCCTAAACCCCGAAACCCCGAAACCCCTAAACCCCTAACCCCTAAACCCGAAACCCGAAACCCTAAACCCCCTCAACCCTAAGCCCCTAAACCCTAAAGACGAGGAGGCCCAAGCCTGTAAACCCCAAATGCCAAATTCTAGGCCTTGGAGCCAACCCCAGACTTCATAGCCCAGCTATAAGAACAGTGAAAATCCACTTACTCGCCCCTCAAGGCGGTTCGGGTTTAGGGTTTAGGGTTTAGGGTTTAGGGTTTAGGGTTTAGGGTTTAGGGTTTAGGGTTTAGGGTTTAGGGTTTAGGGTTTAGGGTTTAGGGTTTAGGGTTTAGGGTTGCGATATGTGATATGAGTACTGTTATCAGCCCTTTGGCCACAGACCTCGTGTTCGGGTTTGGGGCCTCAGGGATTTCAGGATGTGGGGAGACCCAAAACAGCAGACCCCAAACCCCGGCTGCTAGTACAAAGCCCCAAATGATGTCCTGCCACAAGGCCCCAAACCTCGCAGCTGTAACACACGGGCCGAAACACTGAAACCCAAACCCCGCAAAGCAGAGCGGATCCATTGAGGATTTATTAAACGAAAGACCCTCTCAGTGCTGGGCCCTGCTCCACGACATCTTCGGGTTCTAGGGGTAGATTGAAAGGATGAAGGGTTGGTTTAAGGTTTCGGGTTTAGGGTTTCAGCAACGCGGTCGTGCTAGAATTGTGTGCAGTGAGCCCATGTCTAGAAGAAGCTTGATCCCCTGAGAGGACGTCTGCCTCAGTTGGCCGAGAACCCGCAGGATAAATTCATCCGCGAGAAACTAGGCCGCCGGGGCTTCTAGAAACTACAAACGGAGCCCTGAACCCTCAACCCTAAACCCTAAACCCTAAACCCTAAACCCTGAACCCTGAACCCTGAACCCTGAACCCTAAACCCTAAACCCTAAACCCTAAACCCTAAACCTTGCTGGGATGAATGCCATGTGTTAGGGGGATTAGGTGGCCCCAAATTTTGCCGATTTCGGCTTTGCAGGGTCCGGGCCAAGTCCCGGGTTTCGAGTTTCGGGTTTATGGCTTGGGGGGCTAGGGGTTTAGGGTTTAGGGCTAGGGGTTTAGGGTTTAGGGCTAGGGGTTTAGGGTTCAGGGCTGGGGGGTTAGGGTTTGGGAAGACCCTGATTGTCCTGTGTTCTTTCTGGTACTTGTCTGGTTCTAGCGCGGTCCGCCTTGATCCCCCGCCGTTCCCCCACCCCATATGCACCGGTCGCGCCAAGGGCGAAGGCCCTAAACCCTTTTAGGGTTTAGGGTTTAGGGTTTAGGGTTTAGGGTTCAGGTTCAGGGTTTAGGCTAGTCGGCTAATCATTGGGTGTGAGAGGGGGGACGGAGTCCTTACCAAATGCACAGCCACTAGCACGGATGGGGTTAAGGGTAGGGGTTGTGCTGGCCGGCAGTTGCATTGCACAGAGCTTGAACTTGTCCCGAAACCAGCCCTTAAACCCTAAACCCTAAACCCGCCCAAACCCTGAACTCATTCAACAGCTTGCACGTGGCCAGGCCCATTCGTCAGCAGCATCTCAGTGTGACGGCGGAAAAGATTGGAAACGGGCGCCACATGGAGGTTCATGGTACTCTCTAACCAATTACAATACTTATCACCCACTTATAAGCCCCTTAAGTGCCCTAATATGGTTATAAGTACAGTTACAAGTACAGTTCATAATAAGTACCGTGAACCTTCAAGCACATGTTGAGGAACCCCGAACTTTGTTTCATGCCACAGCTCGAACCCCCTCACCCTCTTGGAGGTTCATGGTACTCTTTGGCCAGGTATACCTGTACTTCTACCTGTACCTCTAACCCATATTGGGGCACTTAGGGGGCTTATAAGTGGGTTCTATGTGATGTGCAGTTATGAATGGTGAGTGGGTACCATGAACCTCCAAGCTCTCTTATGTATTCGAGTCCACGCGCCTTCTTTCAAGCACAGTGGCCGCTCCCAGTCGTTGTGAGAGTCCTCATGCGGCGTTGATATCGCAGTGCTAAGTGCTGAAGCCGTTCAACTCAGCTCAAGCGAGATCAGGTCCCAAGCAGGGTTCCCTCAATTCGCGCCATGGCTTGGCGTCTCTTGCTTCTGTCCTTCTACCTCTTGCTTTTCCGGGCTGCAGCCAACATCGCCAATGAGAGCAGCAATCAGGCCAATGGGACGGAAGGCAATGAGATCAAGGGTGTCGGCACACCCCTCCCCCTGGACAACAGCTACATCAACCCTGGCGGCAGCACGCGCTGCCCCTCTCGGTGCAGGCGCTACTTCGCCGGCGCAGGCCCTGGCGATGGCACCATTTGCCAAAAGCAGGCATCGGGGGTCGGCACGGCGCAGCAGAACTTCGAGCAGGGTGTCGCATGCTACCCAGCCTATGGCTGTGGCAGGGACATGATCACCTGCGTGGATCAGGCATTCGAGGGATCCCTGCCGGATACGTCTGATGCCGCCCTTGCATGTGCAGATCTTGAGCTCGTCCAGGCAGAGGATCCTTGGACCTGTGGTACAGCCGAGGAGAGCCGACCTCAGTGCAATAGCACGGCCAACAACAATGCAGGCAAGTGGCTGAAGGCCAACGGGGAGCTAGGATGTGGCTGGGGCTCCACCTATGGGAATACTTACCCAGGCTACACCGGTGCCGGCACGCCCGCCACTGAAGTCTTCCAGGTTTCCAGTGACTTTGAGTGCTGCCTCAAGGCGATGTCCTTCGAAAACAGCTCCTGGGAAGATGGCGGTGCGGCCCTCTTCTTCCAGCGAGTTGGGTCGAGCTGTCGCGTTGACCGCGAGACGATAATCTACGCCAACATGGATAGCTCCTCAGGACGTTCAGTGAAGTACCAGGACACGCGCTGCGGTTTAGGGGAGCAGTTCTACTACCGCCATGCCGCCGGAGCAGCAGATGCCGCCAATCTACACACCGGCGGCCGCTGCGTGGTGGATGGAGGCTTCACCCGGCTGAGCGAGCTTACCTCGGGCACGAACCTTCCTGGCGGCGAGATCCCTGATGGGCACGAGCTGCCAAACCATGAGTGCCCTGAACCGGATCCCAGTGAGACAGGGTTCTCATACAACTGCAACGTCACCCTGAGATTCAACACGATCAATGACGCGGAGGAGTGCTGTGAGATGTGTCGTTCCATGAGCTGGCTCCCGCGTGTGGGCGGTGTTGTGGAGATGGATGAGGCTGGTACTCCCACGAATCCATGCGTCGCTTGGCAGATCGTGGATGGCCGATGTCGCATCGTGCGTCAGGAGTACTTCGACTACTGGAATCCAGGCATGACGATTCATGCATCCTTGACACGAAACAGCTATGAGCCCCCCGGGAACACGGGCTGGGTGGTGCCCACGCGTGGTTGCGGTGATTCTGAAGAGAACTGCAACTACTTCTCTTTTATCTACTACCGTGAGTTCCGCGAGGTGGACGGGGTGGCCGTGGACCCATCCCTCTTGTCAACAAACAGCTCGAACTCCAGCAGGAATGCTTCCTACCGCAAGGTTGTGTCGGTGACCCTCCCTCCAGGCGCGGAGAACTTGTCCTTTGAGCTCAACGTCAGCGCCGTGCCTTCGAGGCATGACCGCCGGCCGCAGCTGATTCAGGACAACGTGAACCGGAGCTTCGCAAGGCTCATTGGGACAAGCTTTGATAACGTGGTGGGCGGGTTGAATTCGAACCTCACGCCCGTGACAGAATCTACGGCTGGGGCTGGGGAAGACTGCGGGCAGATTGAGATCCATTCAGCCAGCGCGATGCGCAGCAGTGGTGACTACGAGATCTTTGACGAGGAGTCCTCTCCAGAGCCCATCTGTGTGTCCGAGTGTGTTCCCTCGGGTGCGACCGCCTCCTTCCAGTGCGGACTCCCACAAGGCGCCGGCCCCGAGCGTCGGCTTGCTACGGTGGACAGTGTGGTGATCTCCTTCAAGGCCGTCGGCAGTGGCTACGACACGGTGGACTTCGGGCTCGCTGCGGCCTCAGAGCAGGGCCCAACTGCCACGACGAGCACGACCAGCGGCGCAAGCAGCACCGGCGTGGGCACGCAGCCGGTGTCCTCAGCGTCGGACTTGAACCTGGTCAGCCTGAGGCTTTTGGCTCTCTTTTGGGCGGGCGCGTACATCCGGCACGGCTAAGAGGGCAGTGCCGGTCGAAAGCCAGGACGGGCGGTAGGAGCTGCTTCTGCTCGTGTTGACGACTTCTCCACAAACCCGAAACCCTAAACCCTAAAACCCCAATCCGCTGTCATTGTACATGATCAAGTCTGGCTGCGGGTCTGTTTTGATGATTCGAGTCAAGCCATCATTCTGGCACACCCGCTCCATGCTCCTACCTGCCAAGCACGGTGCCTAGGTCAGGTGGTATACAGTAAACTCCAGAAAGCTGGAACATGGTTTAAGGACGAAGGATGATTAGAGTTGGGATTCCCTTGAGCATGCCTTTCTGGGTATGAGGATTCGGATGTTCCAACTTTTTGGAGTTTCCTGTAGTGTGGCTTAGCACGGACGAAGCAATAGATGCACAACGACTCTTCTACACCCAGAGATCAGGGTTCTGTTTCGAAGTCCTCATTACATGAGCAATGTCTCATGTCGGCTGGCTCTTATTCTGCCGTCCCTGGAGTAGTCCCCAGCATACTCCGACTCCCCTGAGTTGCTGAAGAGATACTGGTTGGCATGCCCATCACCCCCAACCCTAAGCCCGAAACCCGAAACCCTATGCCCTAAACCCCGGACGGGAGCCAGGAGCCAGGCTCTTGGGGCCCAAAGGCCCAGCTGGGTGTTCTACTTTGTTCACCAGTTGCAGGGGACACTTCAGAAGGCAGTGTCGCAGAGGAACTCCTCCGTTTTCGCTATGCTTGGACAGCAGTTTTCTGCATGTAGACTTCATGTCAGTGCAGCAACTTTGCAGACTTCTGCACGCGTTTGACATTGAGCCCACGTGGAGCCAGAAGTGGGTCCGACTGGTGCAAGCCTCACTGACGCCGCCTCATGCCTCATGACTCACAGAGGTTACACACTCTTCCGATTTTGGGGGATCCTTGCAAGGAACACGGAAGCGTGTCATTTTGGAATACTCAAAACTATGGGAATAAGTTTTGATGTGTTCGCAAACCCTGAACCCGTCCTCCGTACCAGCGCCGTGGCAATCTGCAGGCTCAGGCGCAGAACGTTACCTCATTAGGGCTTACGGCTTAAGGTCTAGGAGTTTGGTGTAGGGGTTTAAGGGTTTAGGGCTTAGGCCGTACTTAGGGTCAAAGGAGCTTTTAAGCAGCGGTTCTGAGCCTTTCACTCGAAACCCCAAACCCCTACCCCTAAACCCCTAAACCCCTAAACCCCTAAACCCCTAAACCCCTAAACCCCTAAAACCCTAAACCCCTAAAACCCCCAAAACCCTAAGCTCTAAATCGGGGTCTGAAAACCCTTCAAACCCCAAACCCCAATGTCCCTACAGCCCAAAACAGAAAGCCCTCAACCCCGAAAACCCTGTCAGTAGCAAAGACGGCCGTGTCTCCTGGCATCATGGCCAGCATGAGTCTGGTTCCAGTGCAGGCTTGGGACCCCTGCCCTAAGCCCTGGGTTTAGGGTTTAGAGTTTAGGGTTTAGGGTTTAGGGTTTTGGGCTTTGGGTTTTGGGTCTATAGGGTTTGGGGTTTAGGGTTTGAGGGTTTAGACCCCAACGCCCCAAAACCCCAACCCCTCAACCCTGAAGCCCTGAAGACCCTAAAGCCCCACCCAGCCCCCCCGGCCTTTGCAACCTCCCCCCTACACGCCCCCCCGCTTCTTAGGACCCCCTCCCTGAAGCACCTGAAGCCCCCCCCTTCTATTCAGGGGTTTAGGGTTTAGGGTCTAGGGTTTAGGGTTTAGGGTTTTAGGGTTTTAGGGTTTAGGGTTTAGGGTTTAGGATTTAGGGTTTAGGGTAGGGCTCGAAGTCCTAGAGCTTCATTTGGGGTCCCTTGGCATAGAACCCTTCTATACACCACACATCACAAGAGCCCCTATACTTCGGAAAGGGGCCATGGTTCTAAGCTTAGATGAAAGGCCCCCTTTTTGCATCCCCCCCTGAAGGCCTCGCAACCCTAAACCCTAAACCCTAAACCCTAAACCCTAAACCCTAAACCCTAAACCCTAAACCCTAAACCCTAAACCCTAAACCCTGAACCCTACACCCTAGACCCTAAACCCTAAACCCTAAACCCTAAACCCTAAACCCTAAACCCTAAACCCTAAACCCTAAACCCCCCCCCCCCCCTTCAGCCCCAACACCCGATAGTCTGCAAGGTTGGGGCCCCCCTCGGCCCAGCTTAAGGGCTCGCCTTCAACCCCGCAACCCTACGTCCTAAGCCCCAACGGGCTTTTAGGGTTTAGGATTCAGGGTTTATATGAGGTTTAGGGTTTCGGGTTTAGGGTTCAGGGTTTTTGGACTGGAGGAGTTGGCAGTCATGGTTTCAGGCCTACTGAAACGTAGCTACCTCAGCGGGTTTTCGGGGTTGAAGTTTATCAACCCCAAGCCAGCTGAACCCTAAACCCTAAACCCTAGACTGCAAACCCTAGACAAATCTTTTTAGGTGCGCGGTTTGAGTTTAGGGCACAATTTCGAGGTTCAGGGTTTACGGGGCTCGTCTTCTGCTGATTCTTTCTGCTGTTGCTATCCTTGCTACTCTTACGCTGCTGTTTGTAGGGTCCGGGGTTTCGAGACCCTAAACCCTAAACCCTAAACCCTAAACCCTAAACCCTGAACCCCAAACCCTAAGCCCTATTAAGCCTGAACATCCGCTGCCATCATCCCGAAGCCCCGAAACCCTAGCCCTAAACCCTAAACCCTAAACCCTAAACCCTAAACCCTAAACACTAAACCCTTAAACCCTAAACTTTGGGTACCCTAAACCCTAAACCCTAAACCCTAAACCCTAAACCCTTAACCCTAAACCCTAAACCCTAAACCTAAACCCTAAACCCTGAACCCTTAACCCTAAAGAAGCCTCTTGTGTTTGCCAAGTCACAGGGCGAGAAGGATGCCCCACGCCCCTGGCCGCTCGTCTGGCTGCACCCTGATGCCCTAAAACGCCTCAGCCCCCTAAGCCCATGTGGGGTTCTAGGATTCCGGGGTTGAGGGTTTAGGGTTTAGGGTTTAGGGTTTAGGGTTTTGATACCCATTTGGGATCCCAGCGGACTCTAGCATTTTCGGGCTTGGGTTTGAGGGCGCGGGTCTAGAGTAGCAGGGAAGACTTGGGCGCACCTGTTTGGGCTCCAAGATGAACTCAGCCGACGCCTTGGGGTTTAGGGTTTGGGTTTAGGGTTTAGGGTTTAGGGTTTAGGGTTTAGGGTTTAGGGTTTAGGGTTTAGGGTTTAGGGTTTAGGGTTTAGGGTTTAGGGTTGAGGGTTTAGGGTTTAGGGTTTAGGGTTTCGGAAACACTCGAGGGTCCAGATTAGCGTCATGGGGAGTATCCTTCAAAGTTCGCGGCTGGTCGAAAGTAGGGTGGTTGCCTGCTTGTAACCCTGCCAGCTAGAACAACCCGTGAACCTCCAATACAGGAACTGTCTCCTTATCAGACCTAGTTTCGGTAAACCAGAGACCCCCATGCCTTCGACATGAAACAACTGTAGCTGAATTCGGGGGCCCGAATCTACACAACCCTAAACCCTAAACCCTAAACCCTAAACCCTAAACCCTAAACCCTAAACCCTAAACCCTAAACCCTAAACCCTTAACCCTTAACCCTTAAACCCTAAACCCTAAACCCTAAACCCTAAACCCTAAAGTCCTGCTGAGGGCTCGCTGCCAACACTTGAGAGCCCGAAGCTGTCCGAGCTTCGCGAGCGACCTGAGAGCACTGAACGTGCAGCCCAGGTAAAGCTGGGGCTGCTGGACGCTCTAAGATAAGGCCCACACTTGCCGTCAAGGCGGTCGAGCCTTTGAGTGTCAAAGGTAAAGACCCTAAACCCAAGACAATTGCACGTGCACCCCCCGGCCCTCTTTCAAAACAATTGCCCACCCCCCCCCCCCCCCCCCCGAAGACAATTGCCGGTGCACCTTGCCCTCCAAGACAATTGCCGGTGCACCCCCGGCCCCCAAGGGAATTGGCCGGTGCACCCTGCCCTCCCCCCCCCCCCCTATTTTTGGGCTTTCCAGAGCCCTTTGGGGATTTTTCCAGACCTTTTCTGAGCCTTGTTGGGCTTGTCCAGGCTATTTCTGAGCTTTTCTGGGCTTCTCCCAGACCATGTCTGAGCTTTTTTGGACTTTTTCCAGACCATTTTCTAGACCTTTTGGGCTTCTCCCAAACCCTAACCCTAAACTCCAGACCCTACATTCCAACATCGTCCCGATTTTCGTTTTTTGTTTTGGTCACACCAAGCCTTTGAAAGGCCCCAGGCCTCGCCATTTTTGTTGCTTTTGTTCCTTTCGCCCTAAAGATTTTGGGGTTTGGGGTTTAAACCCTAAACCTTAACCCCTAAACCCCAAATCCTAAACCCTCAACCCTCAACCCTCAACCCTCAACCCTCAACCCTAAACCCTAAACCCTAAACCCTAAACCCTAAACCCTAAACCCTAAACCCTAAACCCTAAACCCTAAACCCCGGGTCGAGGTTTGTGGACCTTCACGAGCGTGTGCAGCCGGGGACTCGGGTCTGACTTGGGACGCCTCACCGGAGGTAGGGTTTAGGGTTTAGGGTTCAGGGTTCAGGGTTTAGGGTTTAGGGTTTAGGGTTTAGGGTTTAGGGTTTAGGGTTTAGGTTGAGGTTTCATGTTGGGGGGGGGGGGGAGGTACCCGTTTTGGGGTTCCCATAGTCAGGATTATAATATAGCATCTGGTAGGCGGGGGGGGGACCCTAAGCCCTAAACCCAGACCCCTGAACCCTGAACGCTGAACCCTAAAACCTTAACCATAAACCCTAAACCCAATTCTGGCAAGTTCCCATCTGCAACACCCAAAGCACCAAGACATTCGTTGGCCGATATGCCCTAAACCTCATCCCAAGGCCCCTTAAACCCTAAACCCTAAACCTAAACCCTTAAACCCTAAACCCTTGAGACCCTTCAAAATGGCACAGCTAGTTGCGGGACTAAGCTTAGAGATTGAAGATCTTGCAAGATTCGATGAGGCCCCGAAGCCCTAAAACCCCAAAACCTCAAGG